AGAGAACTTTACTAAAATATCCAAGGACTCTTTCCTGTCCTCCTTGAATCTGAGACAGCACTCCTCCAATTCCCACATTACTTGCATCTGTATCTAAGATGAACTCTCCTTCTGGCAGTGGATACCCTAAAATTGGTGCTGTGATTAAATGCTTTTTTAAGGTCTCAAAGGCATTTTGGCAGTCTACATCCCAGCGGTATTCTCTTGCTTCCTCTGTAAGTCGCGTTAATGGTTTAGCGATATCTGCAAACTTTTTAATAAACCTCCGGTAATAAGTACATAGTCCAAGAAAACTTCTCACTTGATGTTTGTCAGTTGGTTTTGGCCATTCCTTAATGGAATCGATTTTTCCCTTATCCACGGCCACTCCTTCTTTACTGACTATATGACCCAGATAATTGACTTTACCTTGAAATAGCTGGCACTTCTTGGGGTTTAACATCAATTGGGCAGCTTTAAGTCGATTAAAAACGTTTTCTAAATTCTTCAGATGGTCCTCAAATGTCTCCCCCAAGACGATTATGTCGTCTAGATAAACTAGGCATGTTTTCCAAGATAACCCTCTCAACACATTTTCCATAAGCCTCTCAAATGTCGCAGGAGCGTTACAAAGTCCAAATGGCATAACGTTGAATTGCCATAATCCAGATCCTGTGGTGAAGGCTGTCTTTTCTTTATCTACCGGGTCCATTTCTACCTGCCAGTATCCAGACTTCAAATCCAAAGTAGAAAATAATTTACTTCCAGCCAATGTGTCTAATGTGTCATCGATCCGAGGCAGAGGATAACTATCTTTCTTGGTAACGTTGTTCAGCAAACGGTAATCCACACAGAACCTCGTTGTTCCGTCTTTCTTCTTAACCAGGACCACCGGAGAGACCCATGGGCTCGTAGAAGGTTCTATTACCCCGTCTTTCTTCATTTCCTGAACAATCGTTTCAGCTTCCTCTCTTTTCGCCTGTGGTAATCGTCGCGCTGTTTGACGAATTGGCTTAGCATTACCAGTATCAATTCTATGCTTAACAACGGTAGTTCTTCCCGTCTTTCCTCCTTTTGGTACGAAAATATCACGATACTGCCGAAGAAATTCCCTTAATTTCCTTTTCTCAATCTGATTCAGAGACTGTCCAGCAACTGCAACCATTTGATCAAATTTGTCGTTGGAATTATCAGACGTTGTCGTCTGACGGATTATGGATGTAACAGGTACACAAGTTCCTACTTTTGTCTCTTTCTTGATGGTCACTGGGTAGTCATTGACATTAATAAGTCTCACAGGAATTTCTTTAGCCGAAGTCACCAATTCCTTTCCAATTATGATTCCACGGCCAACTTCGTCGTCATGATTCCAAGGCTCCATCATAACAGGTGTTCCTTCGTCCACAATTCCCTGTAGCCGCGCTACTATTATCGTTTCACTTCTCGCAGGCACGACTGTATCTTCTTTAACGGCTGCTTGCATAGTGTTGTCATCATGTGGATGGAGAAATACCTCCTCGTTACCAACTTTGATTACCTTATTCTTAAAATCCAATTGGAATCCATGTGTATTCATTACGTCCATTCCTAATATAACATCCTCTTCGATGTCAGCAACTATAACAGTATGGACGAACTTTTCTGTTCCAATTCCTAATTGTACCTGGATTTCTCCATGAATGTTGGCATTTTCACCTGTAGCGGTCCGAAGTCGCAACCTCGTTGGTAACAGTTTCTTACGGCTGTTTATAACTGTCGGGCGTATAATGGTTCTGGTCGCTCCAGTATCCACCAACAATGTATGCTTTTTACCATTTATTTCTCCATCTACATATACACTATCTTCATGACATTTCAAAGAAGCTATTAGTATCAGAGGGTCTTTGGTAAAGTTCTGGGTCGAAGCTGCCCCCCTAAGGCCGACGCGTTCTGGTTTTGTCTTTGGTCTTATGGTCTTCGTTTTCTTGTGTGTCATGCTTTTTATCATATTAAAGAGCTGGTCAAGTTTATCTTCATCTCCTTCCTCTTTTACAGTCCTAACTTTGCTATACCGCCAGAGGCCTGCGTAGCTGACTCGTATTCGAGGGCGGCAGATAAGACATCCATCAGCGTCTTGTGACGAGCTAATCGTAGTGTTCTTTGCATCTCATGATCACGAAGACCATCAATAAACGTTTGAACGGCCAACTTTTCCATCATGTCTTCGGGAGCTGTTGGATAAGCATATCGCACTAATCTGGCGATATCTACTTCATATTCTTGAAGAGCCTCATCTTTCTTTTGTCTTCGATTTTTGAGCTGCGACTGATATACATGCTCCAAGTGTTCATGGCCATATCGCATATTTAACCTCTTCTTCAGTTGTTCGAAATCATCCGTCTCCTCTACGGCTATGGTCTGGAGCACATCTAAGGCATCTCCTCGAAGGGCGATAGTCAGGTTTACAGCCTTTTCTTTTTCAGACCATCCATTCGCTCTTGCAGCTGATTCGAACTGTTTCATGTAGTTGTTGTTGTTGTTTCATGTCGAAAGTTGGGACTTTGACATGAACGGAACTTCCACTTCCTTCACATTTCGGCCGTGTTTCCAACTTACATTTCGTCTCGTCTTCTTTTGTCTCTATGGTAATTGGATTGTTTACTCTCTCTGTTGTTCCTGTTCCCTCAATCTTCCTTTCCAACTCTTTCCATATCTTCTCTTCGAAGGCCATCATATCGGCAGCAACTTGGTTTTTTAATGAAGACACTCTATCGTCGAGAGCAGACATCTCCGAAGTGACTTTAGAGATTTCCAAGGAGATGTTAGCAGAGACTTTGCTTTCTAGAGAAGAAATCTCGTTAGACACTTTGTCTTCTAAAGAGGCGATATCGCCGCAAACTTTGGCTACATCAGAGGAAACTTTCGAAATATCGCCATGAACTCTGTTCTCTAATGATGCGATGTCACCAGAAACTTTATTCTCTAATTTTGAAATTGACGCGATGACAGCATCTTCAAATATATAAGTTTCCGGATCTAAACCCTCTTCCTCCAAAGCATTCTTTAGTCGTTGGACTAACTCAGCCTTTTTTCCGGTAGAAGCTAATTCTCTATCCTCAAGATGCCTTCTTAGATTCGTAACTGTGAGCTCGTAAATCGTAGCCATCGTTCACCAATTTCACTTCTTTTCAAAAATTCAAATTAAATTTATCTACAACCCCACTTCTGCACCACTGTGATATTTTTTATATAGTTCGAATTTATATGTCTTTATTCTAATTTATTGTCTATAATCTAATTTATTAAAACTCACGATAACTAATTACGAATTTATTAAAGTCTTTATTAATTCTAATTTATATTACAAATAATAATTTATGTTTCGTTACATTTAAATATCGCGGTTGCCGAACTTCTTATGACTGGCTCCTCAATGAAATTATTCCCTTATTTATATAATTCCAAGCCGGTAAACAGAAAGGTGTAGAGAATACCATGCTGTTCTCGATGTAGACACAGCGGCGACTGGTCTCAAAACATGTTTTTTTATCGGCTTGTCGCCCCCAGAACATTCGATTCAGGTAGATTTTTGACCTAGAAATTACGAGAATCAATAAAAGAATTAGTCATAAAATATTTACAGTTCTATATGCCATAACATTTAAAATCGTAACAGTATTATAAACAGAAACTTAAATTTGCTTTTAAACATTTTTGAAAATATTGGATACCCAAAACATATCCTTAAAAAATTAATATTTAACTCAGAAATTTTTGACGGTCCCACTGATATCGGAGCAGTACAAACAATCCAATATAAAAAATTACCATTAATAAAACAGTTAACACCTTCTGTGACTAGTTTATTTAAACAATTTACTAACATTAAAGTTGTCCAATATAATGTATTAGAAAACCGACAACTGTTTTCTAAAATAAAAGACAAGACACCAACTGTAAATAAAACTAATGTCATCTACAAACTGCCTTGTTTGGATTGTCAGAGCTGTTATGTTGGCCAAACTTCTCAATGGCTAAAACAACGGGTCACACAACACAAAAGTGACTGCACAAAAAAGAAGAATACATGTGCGGCAGTTGACTATTACCTAAAAACTGGGCATCAATTTGACTACTCAAATGTCAGGGTTCTACAACAAGAGAACAATTACAAAAAAAGATTGTTTTTAGAAATGTGTCACATTAATAAAGAAAAATATGCAGTTAATTATAAGGCAGATACGGGACAGTTGAGCAATATCTACTGTAATATTCTTCTTCTTCTTCGTCTAGCCATTCACGTCCACATCTGAACATAAGCCTCTTCAAGTCTTCCTTTCCATTGGTTTTTATTGTACGCTACTTGTAGCCAATTTTTCCCGGCAGTCCTTTTCTGATTATCTGTCCATCTTATAGGAGGTCTGCCTCTGGGTCTTTTGTGTTGGTATGGTCTCCAGGTTAAAATTGATCTGTGCCATTTGTTTAGATCGCTCCTAGCTACATGTCCAGCGTATTCCCATTTCAGCTTTAATGCTTTTTGCACCACATCGGTGACTTTGGTTTTCTGTCTTATCCATGTGTTTGTTTTCTTGTCCTTAAGTGATATACCTAGCAGTGCTTTTTCTGAAGAAGCTGACAAAAATCAGCAAAATATAGAGTAATAAAAGAATCAGTGCTAAATCTTCGTATCTTCAAATATGAACATTATAAATAATAATAAACTTTACAGTACACATCGATAATATGCTGCATTTTGAGTTAGAACTGATGAAGCTTTAGAAATATAAAGTGAAACGTCCTCGATAAACTAACGGACCGATTAAACCTCTGAATTCATTATTTAAATACTTTCGAAATATATTGACCAAATATATATATATATATATATATATATATATATATATATATATATATATATATATATATAATGTATTTTATAATGTTTTTTTATATTATCATATTTATATATTTTTTTTATCTTTTTAAATAAAATATTTGTTACTGTTACTTTCAAGATATAATTATTGATTTAATATTTCTAGCAAAAAATAAATTTATCCCAATGGCTAGGGTTTCCGAAGGATAGCAGTTATTTTCCTATATACTTCGGAAAGAATGCGCCAAAATTAGAATCTCCACATGTTTATGTTTTAGTTCAATCTATGCTTGAAACTTACGTCAAACATTCTGCAGATATTGTGCAGGTAAGTGTTGAAACTTTACATACATATTATTAGGTTAGGTTTAGGTTATATTTAGGTAGAAAACGAGGAGGTCTCTATACGAGAAGCCATGAAGGGGTGGCCCGGAGGCGATTATTATTTAGTAGCAAAATATGATAGATGGGTAACGCGGGGATGTAGTTACGACGTTCCTATTGATTCTGACTCGCGATACTAATGAGACTATAAATCGAAAATCGAATTCAGCATTTAGTCTAAATCTGTTTTGCAACGTTTAGAAAACACAAATTTACACTGAATCCTGAATTCGATTTCCAATTTATATTCTCATTAGTAGATGTCGCTGTAGCGTCTGTTTTGTAAATATTTTTCAAGTATTTACTTTTATGGTCGGAAAGGTTTTATTTCGTTATAGCTTACTATGAGTTCCCTCCGATTAAGCCAAGAGGCAGAAATATGCATATCAGCAAATGGTGGTATGTTGTAACGAGATTTAACCTTAACTGTCTATTTTATTTTAAAAAATATGGTTAATGTATGTATGTAAAGGCAGTAGTGAGAGACTACAGATTCTCTTTTTATTATAAGTAAATATCAAACCTCCCGAATAACAGTAAAATATTTTCTGCTTTAGAATAAAATATATCCGAATCTAATATTTTTTGTAAATTGTGTTTAAGGTTGAAAATTATGGTGAATTGATAGCCTGGAGAGCTTCTGATACTTTTGATGCTATCATAAAGTCTGATCTAAATAAACTTACTAGGATAGTTCATTCTTTTTCAATGAACAATCTAGATATTAACCACGAATTGAGATTATTAAGGATTGAAAGTAAGTATTTGATTAAAAAAGTAAACTTTGATAATTTTTAAAACACGTTTATGCAGTGGCAAATAAAGGAAATTTAAAAGCGTAATCAGAACAGTAGTAGTAAGACTTTTTAATTCAATATATAACACCGTCAGATTAGCTCAAATCCATCTTTGTCGCAATACCTAAAAAACACAATGCGAGAAAATGCTTAGAATATCGATTAATTAGCCTAATGACTCTTAAAATTTTCCTCAGAATACTTCACAACAGAATTAGACGCAAATGCGAAAAATTCTTGAAGATACCCAATTTGGTTTTTAAAATGCTATGGGAACAAGGGAGACATTTTTTGCACTTAACATCCTATTACAAAAATGCCGTGACCAAAGATAAATGTCTTTGCATATTTCGTGCACTTCGAAAAGGCATTCGATAAAGTACAGCATGTAAAATTAATGCAAATACTGAAAAATATCGGAATATATGACAAGGAGTCATTAAAAATTTGTACTGGAATCAAATTGGATGACACCGATGAAATCTCTATACAACGAGGAGTCAGACAAGGTTGCATTTTGTCGCCAACATTGTTCAATGTTTACTCGGACCAGTTATTTAAGAAGGCAGTTGAGAGGCAATCATATGGAATAAAAATTAACGGGGAACTACTTAATGTGATTAGATATGCAGACGGTATAGTAATTCTATCAGATAATATTGAAGGTCTTCAAATTCTGCTTGATTGTATTCACGAGGTAGGAGAGGAAATGGGCATTAAAATAAACCCAAACAAAACCAAATTTTTAGTGTTTAGTCGTGACCCACTTCCCGATGTAAAGCTTCAATTAAACGGAGTCCAAGTTGAGAAAGTTCACAAAATGACATATTTGGGAACTGTGATAACGGATCAACTTGATCCAGACATAGAAATAAAACGTAGAATAACAATGACTAAAACTACTTTTATGAAAATGAAGTCATTTCTTTGCAATAACCATCTCAGTTTAGAACTAAAGCAAATAATGGTTAAGTGCTATGTTTGGTCCGTATTTTTGTATAGTGCAGAATTATGGACGCTTAAAGTATCGATCATGAACAAAATTGAAGCATTGGAAATGTGGGCTCATAGAGGAATGTTGAAGATACCTTGGACAGCAAAGAAAACTAATGAAGACAGTACTAAGGAGCGTCAACAAACATAGAGAACTTGTAAAGACTGTTAAACATCGAAAAATATCTTATCTAGTACATATAGTAAGGGGAAGTCGATATAAAATATTACAACTGATCCTTAAAGGCAAAATAGAGGGTCGTAGAGGTGTAGGAAGAAAACAAGTTTCTTGAAAAAAAAAACATTCGTGAATGGAGATACCAAATGCAGGACAATTATTCCATATTGCAAAAGATCGAGAAGACTTCGCAATGATAATCGCCTACGTCGGATAATTCTGATATGGAACACGAAGAAGAAGAATCAGAACAGAAAAATCACAAAATGTGAACCCAATATTTTGTAGCTGATCCGCTTCTGCATCCCATCTTAAATGGACATGTGTATGCCCAGAAGATATGACACCTATAACAGTGTGACACTGTCTATCGAGTTCTTCTCGAAATTCCAACACTATCCTAAGAGACTCATATATTCACTTAATTATCCGTGCATATATTGATCTGCTTAAGTTCAAAATTTCGAGAATACAGAATAATATTTTCCTAGTGGAATAGAACAGTTTCCATTGCTGCTGTATATTCCTGCACTGGATCCATCCGCAGTTTTACACCCTTCTGTGTACCGGCAATTACTGTGTGTGGCCTGGTTTGTTTGTTTTCCTTGCTGCATTCCTCTCGTGGTCAGATGTTTACCTAGAAAGGTACTTTAGGTACCTATAGTTATCTATAATTTCATTTATCATGTAACAATTATGTTACTCGGCTTTTCTCCTAACCTATAATATCTTTTTCTCGCCTTCAACCTTATGACGATGTGCAGGGGAGGGAGGTCCACTACTATATCGATGTTTTGTTTTGCCCCGCAGAGCCCACCTTGCTTAATTTGATTTTTTGCTAAATCTTAGGCCACCATACCACTAATACATATAGGTTTGTTCCAACACGCAATTTTTGTACGGTCCGGAAACCGTCACGAAACTACTTGTACCGTTTTTAACGCGCATGTTCATCATTTGTATCGTCTGATGACGGAAATTTGGAAACTGATTTTAAAACGATTTTCTGACAACTGACATAATTTGGTGACAATCTACCTAAATAATTCTGGTTTTTCTGCCTAGGTTCGGCTAATAGCTCCAAAACATCCTCACTACTATAATAATCAGAAAAATCACTAATTCCTTCGTCGTCGGTTATATTTATAAATAATGAAAAACAAATACCTATATAAATTAATAACAAGTCTATCATAAGCACCTGATAAAATAATTAACCTAACTTCTCATTTTTTCTGAACAAATTTACAGTTTTAATATAAAATCTAAATTAATATAGGCCCAAACAAATTTAAAGAAGTAGAATTAAATCCTAGTGTGCAAGTCATCCCAACCAGTACATGCATTTGCCAGATTACTGAAATTATCGTCACGAAACCGTCACTGATCGATCACAATTTTTGTTGGAACGGTAGGAAAGACGATGAGATGAACGATCATATTTTTGTTGGCATGTATTTTGTTTAGTGCGCAGTAGCGTAACCGTTACGTGACTGTTTTTCGTTGTGTTGGAACAAACCCTATGTTATTGTTGGTTTTACAACATAATATAAATATAATATATCATTTCTGGTTTTAATTCCTACACTTTAAATGAGTGCGTCTGACTTCCATTAAGGTACCTAGTCACCGCTCTCCTGGATAATCGTTCAATCTATTTATTTCAAGAAAGCCTGAAGTCTAATATTTACCAAGGTACTTTACTTCACTCAACATATTTAGATTTGTATCATTCAGATTTAGAGAACCTAATTCCTCTAAATTCTTTCTTTTGGTAAATTTCATCTTAGGGCTTATATTAAGCCCTTTATTTGACATATGACTACAGTCAAAGCCGTTGTTGAGTCTAGTTATTAACCCGTCCATGATTAGATCCCACAAGAGAGGCATCTGCAGCTTGTTGCGTCTATTCCTTTCAGCCGAATCTCCCTTGTGATTGCTTTGTAAGAGGTGTAACATCGAATACTACGTCTATATCGTGAAATGCACCCAGAATAACCTTTTGGTTTTCCAGAACGTTCTCCACACTCCACATACAAGATGATGCAGTGCCCTTCTTCCGTCCAAATTGCATCAAATTTATCGACCTCGGGGACTTACCTTTTTCCTGACCAGGTTTAGGCTGTCTTATTGAAAATAAAGTGGTCTTGAGAGAGATCCAGTATAGCCATACGGCTGTATATAGATATCACTCGACTTTAAAAATAATATTTAAATAATAATTCAGTCCTCGTAGAAGGGACGGGCTTAATATAAACAAATATGAAAATGATTTAACTATGCAGTTCCACGAAATCGACAACAATAAAAATACGTTTATATAAAAATAACGGTACTACGCTATTCACAATTGAATCGGTGAGTTGAAAAAGGTACACATTCCAAAATGGCTATTTTTCAGGATCCAAAACAAAAACTGTTTATGTGCAACACTAAATATGTTACAGAAAATGTTTCAATTATGAACTATTATGAAAATAATTGAAACATTGTCTGTAACATATTTAGTTTTGCAGATAAACAGTTTTTGTTTTGGTTCCTGAAAAAAAGCCATTTTGGAATGTGTACCTTTTTAACTTAGCGATTCAATTATTAAAGGATCAACATGTAAACAATAATATACAAAAATCACAAATTCATATACCATTAAAACAATGAAATGATTTGATTAAACTGGGCTGTTTTGTTATGGAAATGTATGTATGTATGCATCTACATAGGAATATATTGAAAGTTAACCTTTTTATATCTTCTTAGCTGTTGATGTAGAAGGTCTGCCCACCAGAATTAAGTACGATAAAAGGTTTGCCAAAGAAAATGCTTTAAAATATTCGTACGCCCCAATATATTGGACAAAGTTTGTAGATAGCATCAAAGAAATTTATGGAAAAATTAGAGATACAAAGAAGTAAGTAATTTTAACTATTATATTATCGACTTTTATTTAGATTAATTCGTGACTATCCTTCAGGCATCTTTCAGTAAACGAGAATCTACAGTTGAAGTTTGATCTCGTGCCAATATAGGATTTTTGTAGCGTAATATTTTAATATTTAGTGCAGAACTATTTAGAGCGGCAGTCAACATAGTCCGCATAGCCATGATGATTTCCAACCTTCGATAGAAGATGGAACTTGAAGAAGAAGCGTAATGTTCATGCAACATATCTCAAGATATCGTTTGCTTCTTTTGTTAGTTTTATATTTAATTGGTAACATCAATTGATTGTCTTCATCATCATTTCCCTTCTTCTTCTTCGAGCTTCTTCTCCTTTCCTATATATCGATATTTGGATATCGAGCGATCTATCATTTTAATCCCATGTTACGTATATATTTACCACCAACATTTTGTTTTTTCGCGGTTGAATTTTACGTCCCCTCAGCTGATATTTTTTAAGTAAACGCTGCAATCCCGAATTGTCAGCATTTATAACTAGGTCATCAGCATATCCTTAATTAAATATCAATATTTCATTCACTTATATACCGTCTCCTGCGCCTTCGGGCGCGGTTAGGAAAACTGTCAACGTAAATGTTAAAAGCATCAGGGGTTTGGTACACGGCCTTGACCACGTTTAATTGGAACAGTCTTCGTTTGACTATTTTGAAGCTGTATTGTCGCTATTTGACGTTTGTAGAGGCACTGAATAATTTTTGATCTTGCTGGGTATTTCATTTCCCCGATACCTTCCATATCCGGGAGACGTTCCTCTATCCACCACCTCAGGATGCGCTCGATGGAGAACTGTCAACCGCACACGAGTGACCATCAGCCCTATCGTATCGAACCCTCATTTAAATCCTTCTTAATCTGATATGTAAAATTTTTCTAGTCTAGAGGATATACTGGAGTTCTTGAGTTCTACTTGTTTTCTTGCTTATAGACAAAAACAACACTTACCTCTTTCTAATACAGCTTTAAGCAGTGTTACTACGTGTTTTATCAGTTCAAGATTATGGTTCTCTTTGAATATTTCTCTTGGGGAACTGTCATTTGGAGTATTTCTCCTGGTCTTTCTTCGTAAAGCAAGCTCTCATATTTTTAAGTTTGCAATTATGTTACTTTTACTAATACAAATCAGATGATGAAACTAAATTATTTCCTTATTTTATGTTTTATGTGACAGTGGAAGTCAAAAGACAGTAACGAACTATATAAGAAGAGTTGCTACATAAGCTCCAAAACTATAATACAGTTATAAACGCTTATGGACCTGTTGCACCTAGTCTGTAGACGTAGGGTTAATTGAACAGTCGGTCTTAATTGGCATTTATTTTATTGTTAAAAGTATTATCCAGCCTTTGTTTATTGTCGCACATGGATCTACGATATTTTTGAGTATCTCCATTTTGTTATGAATTAATCAATCAAATTAGTTCTATCCACTTAAAATATACAAATATTTATAAAAAGGTTAATACCTAATACATGCTAATTCCATTTTACTGTTGCAGCCCAAAAATAACTATAGAAAGCGGGAAATCCGAAGAAAAGAAAGTTCCAGTAAGCGAAGTGAAACCAATAAAAAAAGATGGTAAACGATCGGAAGACAAAAATACACTAGAAGTTGGTAGTGGAGATTACAGAAGACACAAATCTGGAGAACACCGTAGAGAAAAAAGTTCAGAAAAGCACAAAGGTGAAAGTACAAAAGCAGAAACATCGTCCAAATCAAAAGAAGAAAGTAAACATCGAAAAACTGAAGATAAGCACAAAACTAAAGAGGAATCGAAAACAGATGGAGACAATACTCGGAAAGAGGCTAGAGAGGAACACAAAAGGAAAGAAAAGGAAGCTAAAGTAAAGAGGGAAACGGCAACGACTGAAGAAACTGTACCTACAAGGTCTTCTAAAGAGGCCAAAGAAAAGCACCATAAAAGAGAAGATAAGAAAGAACCACCAAAAAAATCCAAAAGTAATGTTGAAAAATCATTAGAAGCAGCTAAAAAGTCTGAAAAATTATTGTCAAAACGTTCCAGTTCTGACAAAAAATTAGTTAAAACTGCGGCTCTCTGTGAAGATGTAGATAGTAGTCCTAAGGAAAAGAGCCACAAATCCAAAGATATTTTAGGTGTTAGCAGTAGCAGCTATAAGACTGATAGTACTTCAAATAAGCAACCTCGTATTCAATCCAATGGACTCATGAAGAGTAAGAACGTTAAACCGCCTAATATATTGATATTTGCCGACAGTTTGTTGGCAAAAGAAAACGTTAAATCCGTATTTATTAATATGTTAAATAAAGAAAAGTAAGTTTAAATATTAATAATTTTTATGATAGTGTTAAAATTTCTTTATTGTTGGTCTAAGTCAATTAGCAATATGACGAATCTTAAACGCTTCTATCCAAACTATGGATACAAGGTCTTATATTTTTGTTCCGTGCCACTTACTGTATCTTATTTTCATGTCAGATCTTAGTTACATGAAAGCTGCAATGTGTAAAGTTTCTGCACAATGTTTTGCTCAAATTCACCCATGAAAATATCGGCTAATAATGAAGATTATGAAGAGTCCATGGCTAATCCAAAATCTATAAAAATCATTGTCTGAATATCAAAACTCACTAGCATGTTAAGATTATACTCAATTTCTGCTAGATTTTGCAGAAAATGTTGTTAATTCTCTACAAATGTTGTGTTATGTGCTAATGGCTATATTATATGTGGGAAGAACTTTGACAGTTTGCTGCAAGGAGACCCTAAGCTGTTACCAAGTGGTTTGGGGGTACATTTTCTTTATATGTATTATTGGGACTTCGTATACGTGTGGTGTCCTGCGATACGTGAGGGTTAGTACCCTATCAGAAGAAGCGACTGGTGGCGGACCGATGTCCGATGTTCAATAGCAGTAAATTATTGTTTTAAATGAACGATTTCAGATGAGCAACTTTTAGTGTCTGGCTACTTTTAGCTTTTAGTTTTTTTATTTTTAGCAAAGTATTGTTTCGAATCGAAGCGTTTACATCAGCCACTTTTAGTGTCTTGTTTTCAGTTTTGTTTTAATAATGTGTTAAACGTTAAGTATGGAAGATAATGTGGATTTTAATACGGAAGTTTTTATAACTGCTATTGAAGAGGATCCAGTTTTCTCGGACCATAAATTAGAACAATATCGCCACAAAATTGTTAAAATAAATATGCATAGGAAGAAATCTGTTTTCTTTTGTGTCGACACTTCGTATTTTATTTGATATTCAGTCGGTCCATTAGGCGCGATTGTCCGTAAGAGCTGCTAATTCAAGTGCAAATTAAAATTATATATATATATGTATATATATATATATATATATATATATATATATATATATATATATATATGTATATAAGCAACTACTGCACTAATGGTGGGTGCATCCATAATCTTTTCTTTATTTGTCTCCTCCTCCTGGATTATTTACCGAGATTCTTGTTTAATCTGATGTAATTATAATTGGTGTCTCTCACCGGTGTTTCGTTTGCGCGGCTGATGAACCATCGGTGGCGGACACCGGTGTCTTGGTGTTTTTCTTTGTATATATTTTTTTCTTCAATGACTTGGATGGTCTTTTTGTAGTGTTGTGTATGGTTCAATTGTGATTAGTCCATAGATTTTCTCCTGGTATTGAATATTATCCATGATTAGAGTTGCGTTACCCTTTTCAGCTGGTAATATTATTATAGACTAATCTTCTTTTAGAGCTTTGGTAGCTTTGTCTTCACTAACATTGGTTTTTGGTTTTGTGCTTTTTCCAGTTCCCTTTTGTACAGTACTCTATAGTCTTGTTTTTCATGTATTGGCAGTTGTTCAGAGACTTTTACATCAGCACTTATCTCGTTTAGGAACTGAACTCAGTATGCATTATGTGCTCCATCGAAAATGCACTTTAGGAAGAAAAAACCTACTAACAAAGGTTTTAACTAAAAGTTATCATCCAGTATCATTTAAAAACAGGAATTTGACAAGATTAAATAAAGTAAACAACATAACACCAAAAGCAACCCATTAATGCTTACAAGAAGGTATTTGAAGATGGACAATAATCATAACAACCTATCAGAAAAATTAAAAATTATAGAAAATAAATACAATATCACAACAATATTTGAAATAATCAACACACTTAGATCTTCTTTGGCCAAAACCAAACCAAACAACACACAGAAGAGATCAAAGAACTGCATCTATAAAATACCTTGGGAATGCAACAATTTCTATGATCATCAAGATTATTAAGTGTTAGGATATATGAGCATAAATTATACATCAAAAACAGAGACTTTGAAAAATCTCAGATATACAAACAAGTATGCGTTGTGACAAACAATGAGTACCAATGCTAAAAGAAAAGGACAACAATAAGAATATACCAAAATTAATGAATTAATAGAAGGTTAGAGACACATCATCTATAATTAACCACATCTAACACACTGAGGGTAAATACAGCACCCTCAGAATTTCAACTCTGAGTTGAAATTTGAACTGTTTCAAAAAATAAATATTTGCCTACAATATTGAGTCCAAATAGATCAACTGCCAAATTGGATGCTATAAATGCCAATTAATAAACACCTACGGATTAAAATAATTTCGTAAACAAAAGATGGAATGAAAGAACCAAACATTAACTAATTGTCTTCCGGGTTTGGACCGTCTTTTGTTCTTTCCTAAAACCCAACTCACCTGTTGGTGAGCAACCAAATTCTATATTCAGATGAACAGAAGACACAAACCTTCAAACAATATCTACAAGACGTCACTGTTACTCCAAAAGATCCAAGATTCGATCCTGCCTTTTATGAAATTAATGATATCAATCCAAGAGATGCTTGAAGCCCCCATAATCCACAGAACTTCCATGATATTGCATTCACGGCACATGTGGACCAAGAAATTCTAGAAAAAACATTTACCAGATTGGCTACACTAACATATTACATGCTGAAAATATCCCCAGGAATCCTCGCAAACCCTTGGGAAATAGACTGCTAGAGTGATGAAGTAGAAGCATTTATTTTTATTGACATCTGTCGTTTCACTTTCCAAATAAACCTTTTTTAGTGTGGGTAATTTGTATTTTTCGTTATTTTTTCAGTTTTTTTACAGAGTCTTTCCGCTTTTTGCAATATGTTAGTATTCTTATAGTTACTACAACAATTTTACAAGGTTGTGTAAGTAATAAAGTGTGTAAGTTAGGTTAGAATTTCTTTAATTTAAACTTTTAAACTATATTTCATGGAAATATAACAAATTATGATGGTATTATCGTAAAAAAAACACTATACTTAGGAAGAAAAAGCAACGAGGAAGCAAAATTTTAACTTTATAGGAATTAAAAAGTCTTGATATTGGCCAAACTCTGGCTTTTCAGGTTTTGTTTGGAAAGTAATAATAACAATATGACCGCCGTGACGTCACACTCCGGCCTTCCATAATCAATACTATCATTCTCCGTAAACAGAGCAAAACTCTAACCAACGTCGACTCGTATAGGCCGATATCCTTATTTAATAATCTCGGTAAAATCTTTCAGATAATCCCCAAAGAGTGATTCATGCAAAGAATATCATTTTCTCTCTCCAATTCGGCTTTCGAGAAGGTCAACCAAAATAAAATACTCTTTAGACACCGAACTTCGAGCTTCTCACACAGACAGGGGGCGATCGTTTTCTGTAATTTGCCGATCCCATTGCTTAATTTTATACCTAGAGCCACAGTTGTCCACAACGAGTTTCGCAAAAGAGAAAAATTAATAAATTTAGAAAAAATACCAAAAAAAGAAAACATCTGAATAGACCTGTTTTATAAGTCATGTCCTTTATTCTTTACCCTTCACGACGTGAATGTCTCCACAGACTATGTGTTTTCGCACCCCTATACGTTGAGTAGTCGAGTTACCGTAATCAGGAGCCTTCACCTTAATAAGCTCGCTACAAAAGTAGCGGAAGGTTAAGATCTTTGAAATTATTAATAATATTAATCATTTAAAAATATTTAATTTTGCTCAATTTTTTCGAAAATTAACTCCTCTAATTGTGTGTTATGTTTTAGGTATGTTATTTACGATTTACCGACTGATCCTAAGCAATCCATGTGGAACGATTCCACTGCTTTAGTGGTGGTGTGTGGAAATGTTCCACCGAATTTGACATCCCAATTATTACAGTATTTATTAGATGGAGGTCAGTTGCTCTGTCTTTGTAGCGATTTTCTTTATTGTGTACTACATACGTTTACAACAGCAGAGGTAAGTTAAACCAAAGTATTCATTTTCTTCTTCGTTTGGTGCCGCTTCCATAGAGATTGGATATCGTAATGAGTCCTCAAACATTAACTACTGTTCTAAAAAGATTATTCTTTTTCGAACAGTAGTTAATATATATGAACTACACCTAAACCATCCCTGTAAGTTCCGTGTTATTTCCTTTTGTATATAAAATGGTTTTTCTAAGCTCACTGCTAAACTTAACATTGCATTAGCAGGAAAATCTCTAAAATTAAAATTTGGTCACTCCTTCACCTTTCCTAATAAATTTGACATACTGAGCGGAAGCTACTTTCTTAGTCAGTGCCTTCCTGCCGCAAAAACCATGGGGATTTATGCTAGCTTGTAATTAATAAGTGTATAACCTTGCGTAATCCAAAATACTTTTCTATAATTTTTTTATACTTAACTTTACTTAACTATACTTCTATAATTTATTAACAAGCATTAAATATTATTGTAAGATTTCTTTGTTTACTATTTTACATGCCACAGCTACTCTGCTAAAACTCTCTTTTAACAACGTTAAAAAGTGCCATAGCGATATAAAACATACTTTGATTTTAGGTTAGGGAACACGAGTTGGTAAGATTTAGTTACGGTCAATGGACACAGGTGAAAATGATGCATCACATATTTTGTTACCAAGCATCGCCGACCAAAAAACAGTTCTCTAAAGAATCGGACCATTCAAATCAAAGCAGCGGGAATGGGTCCAGTCCAGTAGCACCAAGAACCCCATCAGCCGTAGAAATACAGCACAACGGTAAGGATTACGTTATACAAGTTCAAATTCTTGGTACTGAGGAAACATGGCAGACTCCGAGCTTATTGTTGGCTACAGTAAAAGGGAGTCGTGGAAGGGCGATTTTTTCTCAGGTCCATTTGGAGATTAATCCGGACCAATTTGAGGATGATGAGAATAAGTTTAAGGCTTTGAAGGAAAGCGATCAAGCAAGAATTGAGATTTTAAAAGATATTTTGGTGCATCAATTGAGTATAGATTGTACTGAAAATAAGGAACTAGAATATACTCCTGGGTATTTCTTGGGAAGGCATGATGTAAGTATAAATATTCAAAGAATACAATCTTAATTTTACAATTATTGGTGCTGTTAGTTGATGTTTATCTATTATATATTACTATATAGTAAACTCCCGTTTATCCGTGGGGTTGAGTGACACTATTGTCGCGGATATCGAAAATCGTGGATAAACCGTAACTAGAAGTCGAATATGTAAATTCAAAAAACAAAAATTTAGTTTCATTTAAAGCTTTAATAGAAAAATTTTAATGTATACTTATATTTTTACATTTTTTGAAAGTAGTTTGTCACTTGGTTTTGCTTCTTTGGGTGAAAAACAATTTCTTTATTCTATTCTATATTATTCACGTGACACAAGTCCGCTTTGTGAGTCACTCGTCCACCAGGTACAAGCTCCTCTTCTTCTTCATCGCTTCTCTGCATTTCTCTACATTTTCTTAGGATGTCTTGATCGGTTAAATGCTCAAATCCCGGGTCCGTAACGTCGCAGTCTATCCACTCTTGCAGGTTTGCTGTTCCCCCAGGAATTTAGCATATTAAACTTGTAAGGACAGGCAATCACTCTTGAAATATTTTTGATCCATCCACCCTTTTGTTTGGTTGAAGTAATCAGCAGGTAGTTTTTCTGCTCTAGTGCCCTTAAAAGATCTAGGTTTTTTTGCCATGTCGGTCACCGTCTGCAGCGTCTGAAGTTTGTGACTTTCTGTAGCGTTGCTGCAAGACATAATACCTTTACTTGCAAAAGCTGGCACCGAGTTGGAAGTCGTTTCCAGAAAATGCCCGATTCATCTGCGTTATAAATTTGTTCGTAGCACAGATCATTTGAAGAAAGGAACTCTTCGAACTCACTTTTAAATTCCTCAGCCTTCAGTTGGTCACCACTGAGCTTTTCTTTAAGAAGTCCAATTTCCTTTATCTCATGGCGTTTCTTAAAGCGAGTCAACCAACCAGATGATGCATCAAAGTTCCCCTCTCACAACATGTCAAAAAACTGTTTTGATTTTACAGCAGTTATTGGACTTGATATGGGTATACCCATGTTGCGAAGTTGGGCTATCCATTTTACAAACGCCGTCTCTAATTCTACGTAAGACGAGGTTTTCATTAATTTTCTTTTCTTCGTGACAGAAGAACTTTCTGACATTTATGCAAATGAAAGATGTTTGTCCTTTTGTTTTAAAATCTCTCGCACTGTCGACTTGTCGCCGATACCGTACTGAAGGCACATAAGTTTACGGAAAGCACCTTTTAAATTTTATTTATGAGTTCTAACTTCTGAATAATTGTCAACAGAACTTTTTTCTTTTCTGGGACATGGTAACAAAACAATCAAAAAATGCATTTTAGTTCAAAATAAAACACTACCTTACAACAGCGATCAACTAAACGAACTGCGAACTAACACAAGCAAGTTAACAGCCCCATTACACCACGGTCCGACAGTCATAGTTAAGGTCTTTGTTTGAACACACAGTAGACAAACAACTGTATCATCTATTAAAACAAAGAAACGGCTTGTTATTTTTTTCCATCATCAGTGGCGTTACAGCTCTTTATGAGCCAAAGCCTTCTTCAGAACAATCCTACTATCGCCCCTGTCTCTGGCAACTCTTCTCCATGCTCTAATTTCGATAGACTTCAAATCATTTTCTAGGTTTTCTTGGTACCTAAGCCTCGGTCTTCCTCTTCTTCGTTGTCCGATCGGCGCTCTTCGGTCAAAAATTTTCCTGACTATAGCATCTTCCTCTCGTCTGATTACATGACCTATCCATCTGAGGCGTGCTACCTTAATGAATTTTACAACGTCAGGTTCTCCAAATCTATACAACTCAAAATTATAACACCTGCGCCACAAACCTTGTTCTTTTATGCCTCCATATATTCGTCTTAGTATTTTTCGCTCAAAACGTTTAAGCAATTCTTGGTCATTCTGTGTTAGTGTCCAAGTTTCTGAACCATATTTTAGCACTGGTCTTATTAGTGTTTTGTATACAGTCAGTTTAATTTTTCTAGTCATGTTTGAGGCCATCTGTCTTCTTACGCCATAGTAACACTTATTGGCGAGCACTATTCTTCTTTTGATTTCTTCACTGACGTTGTTATCTTTGGTTAGCAGCGACCCTAAGTATATGAAGGTGTCAACACCTTCTAGTTCTAGGTCATCAATTATTATTCGTGTAGGTGTCGGGCTGCTTGACCTAGTGCAACACATATATTTGGTCTTTTGAACATTTATATTTAGTCCCATTCTGTGTGTAGATGCTCTTAACGACCGAAATGCTTCAGTCAGAGATTCTGTGGACCTACCTATGATGTCTATGTCATCTGCGTATCCGATTTATTATTTATTATTTTTTTCCCATTATTTTTTATAACAGAGAAATAATGAAATAACTCAGTCGCCTTCGTTGATTAATTTACACTGCAGCAGTAGAATATTATATTTCTACTATTAATAATAAATTACCATGTTTATTGGGAACAAACTAATAATTTTCTTTATTTATATAATATATTGATAATTGTAATGATAATACATAATATCTAGTTTATACAATAATAGGTTTTCATTAATATTAAAAAAAGCTTCTATAAAGTCGCGGATAAACATGAGTTTACTATATTTTCCAATTTTTCTACTCGTCTGACATATCTCTTACCTACCATATATACTCACTAACCCCTTTTTACTTCATTAATACATTTTTTTTATTTATAATTTCTGTCGCATTCACTGTAGTTATTAGTGACATATTGATTTGCAGTTTGTAAAAAAGATAAGATTCTTTTAGAAAATATACAATATTGTTTCTATTGCGATTCTCGTTTAATAATGTATTTAGGATGGACAGTCGGAAAGTTTGTTATTTATTTTTTTTTTAATAAATTTTGAACAGTCAAACAGTATTACTCGTACATCAATCGCATATCGAATAAGTGTAATTCTGTGATTCTTTTATGCCCTAAACGCAAGCGATCAATTCCAACCTAGTTAGCAATATCTGTACTTTGCTTTTTCTTTACGTTTTTGTAAATGGTTTAATTTTGAATGGTAGGCATCCCCTTTACTTCGTAACTTGCTATGCTACTATAAGCTAGTTTTAGAATGCTGAGAAGACCTCAAAGTCTAGCGGAACATAACAATGCCGCTTTGGTCATGGGTTGTAGGTCTTCGGGGAATACATGACCATCAAATAGCGTGTTATATTGGTATGGGTTCCACGGTATTGGGGATTACGTGGCAATAAAAGAACTGATGAACTTGACAGAAGGCACCAGCTACAAAATACTTCCTCAAAGATTCTGCCTTAATTATGCTAAATAACACCGTCCGCAACTTGAAAAAAGTCTGGATTCGAACAAAAGACCAGTACTCATGGAAAAAAATTAACCATGGAACTCTATTTTTTGTTGACGCTAACACATAGTTTCCTTCTTTAATAAAATATAATTGCACTTGTTCACTAAAGAGGTTTGTTTCTAAGAATGTTCATGTTTAATTAAAATCGTTGGAATTGTTTTCAAATTGTATTGCTTAGCCATGTTTTTCCATCCGAAATAATATTATTGTGATTGATGTTTTCTCACACAATGGATAGTGGAGCTTAACTGTCCATGTTGGATACGAATCTTTTTAAAACTTTTTCACCATATTTATGCCAAGCATTTATCGCCACTATATCCAAGTGCACTCATTTCACAGTGAGAGGTCTAGAGGGTTTTCGAGGCTAGAAATTTTTTTTAAAGTTGTGGTATAAAATCCAAATGGATCTGCGACTTAAACTCGAATATGCTGAAGTAACGGATCAACCTATGGATGAGCAGTAAAGCCCTATATGCGGTATTGTATCTTGGTGTTACTAGAGAACTAGTTCGTAATTCTCTGGTGTTACTATAATCGGAATTCGAAATTTCATTATGGGAGTTAAAGTTCTCTAAAATTATCCGAAATTTTGGAATTTGATTTATCACATGTCTTAGTTCTCACACAGGACGCCAGCCCTTCTGGTCAACGGTTTGCGTTCTTAGTATCCAAGACGAGCTCACGTTGGATTACTCTACTCTAATTCCACATAACCTTTGTGCGGAGGACTTACTTACTTACTTACTCCGTGGCGTTACAACCCTTCGTGGGTTTTAGCCGACTCGACAACATGCCTCCACTGTTTTCTGTCTTGAGCAACCTCCATCCAATTCTCCACGCCCATAGTGCTTAGGTCTGCTGCTACATTATCTCGCCACCGGAGACGAGGGCGTCCGCGTGGCCTCCTTCCAGTTGGGACTTCCTCCCACACCAGTCTACTGTTCGTTCGTCAGAATGTCTTCTGAGGTGTCCTGCCCATTGGAGTCTTCTGGAGTTTATTTCTTTTATGATGTTGGCGTCTGGGTAAAGTTCTTCGAGCTCTTTGTTAGTTCTTATCCTATATTGTCCTGATGCTTCATCTAGCACAGGACCAAAGATGTTCCTTAGGATTTTTCTTTCCCAAACGCATAGTCTCTCTTCGTTTGCCTTTGTTATTGTCCACGTTTCGCTTCCATACATCACAACGGGTCGTATGATTGTTTTATAGACCTGTATCTTCGTACGTCGTGTTAGTTGTTTTGATTTTATAAGGTTTTGGATGGCAAAAAGACATCTGTTGCCGGCCTGAATCCTGTTGTTTATTTCTTGTGATCCGTTTCAGTTAATTGTCGATAAGGGGCAGGTTTTCCAACTTAACGTGTTAGTTTTATTCAGACGTGTTGTTTTTGTTACATACCTTTTTTATTAGGTTACACATTTTTGTTTTGCAAACTGCATCTTTATGCTGAAGAACCAATATCTTTTACATTATGTCATTTTTCCCTCTATACGTATGAACACTAGAAGAAAAGGTTATTTTGTAATCGATTATAAGCCTGGTAAAGAAATGCTTTTTTTGTTTCTTTTCTTTTTCACTTTCATTTTTAATAAAAACTTTTTGTATATTTTTCGTTAGTAGTAGCCTTTTCTAAATTTTTTAAATTCATGTAAATATGTAAAACAGTAAAAGGCTTATTATTTTGTTTCAGCTGAAGCTTAAATTATTGACAGAATGTAAAGATATTAAAGATATGAGATTGGAGAATAGCAAAATTGTATTAAAATTTTGTGGCAAGGATGAGAAACCAGACCAAGCAACTTCCAATTTTATGCCAATATTTATCCATACGTGTCCTTCCAACTTTTCTACCGTAACATACTTTGAATCTTTAGCTACAGAAGAAATCGGAAGGTTAGTGATTTACTCCGATGTAATGACGGGATCACAAATTTTATTAGAAAAAAATCTTACCCACGGCATAGTTGTAATACCTAGGCAGCAGACTCAAGGAGTGGGTAGATCGAATAATAAGTGGATTAGCTCTATGGGTAGTGCTCTCTTTTCTTTACAAATAATTATTTCTTTGAATTCTCCTCTCGGCAAAGCGTTGCCTCTAATTCAACATGTGACTATGGTTGCTGTTGTGTCAGCTATTAAAAAAGCTGTTGGTGACAGCGAATTAGACATTGGAATAAAATGGCCAAACGACTTGTATGCTGATAAGTCAGTAAAAATAGGAGGATTAATCGTAAACTCACATGTTCTAGGTGATACCGTTGGAATTGTTATTGGTAAGTCGTTATAATTCATTTTTTTTTGAGAAATACTTTGTAACATTTAAAATTAGTTGATAAAATAAAATTTAACATATCGTGAGATGTATTCTGCTATAAGTAATTTTAATCTAGAATACATGCAGTAGTAGTGTGTCATTTAAATTTCTTGTAAGGAAAATTTCGCCCTACGCATACATTGTAGCTGTGCCTACTTCTTCTTTAGGTGCCATCTTCACGGCGGAGGTCGGCAATCATCATAGCTATTCGGACTTTTGAGACGGCTGTTCTGAAAAGTTCATTTGATGTACATCTGTACCACTCTCTCAGGTTGCGCAGCCATGACATTGCCTCCCTATGCTTCTATTTCCTTGGATTTTTCCCTGCATAATCAGTTGGAGCAAGGTGTGTCTCTCCACGTGTAATATGTCCGAGATATTCTAATATTCTTGTTTTTATTGTATTTAAAATTTCCATTTCTTTATTCATCCTTCCCAGAACCTCTTTGTTTGTGACGTGTTCTGTCCACGATATTTTCAGTATTCTTCTGTACACCCACAGCTCGATTGATTCCAGTTTTTTTATTGATGTCGCATTTAAGGTCCAAGATTCCAGTTCATAAAAGAAAGTCGAAAAAGCATATCACCTCGCCAACCTAACTCTTAGTTTAAAGTTTAGTTAAATCCCTGGTGCATAGCACTTTTCTCATTTTGTTGAAATTTACTCTTGCCTTTTCTATTCTTATTTTGATTTTCTGATTGTAATCATTTGTGGAGTTAATAATTGTTCCCAGATATGCATATTTGTCCACTTGTTCGACGCTGGTCCCGTTTATTAGAAGATTCTCGTTATTTCTTTGAGTTTTCGATATTCTCATAAATTTCGTCTTCTTGACATTCATTGTTAGATCATACTCTTTTCCATACTCTGCTGTTCTGGTCACCAGTCTCTGAAGATCTTCAATGTTTTCGGCTAAGATCACAGTGTCATCCGCATATCTAATGCTGTTAATGGGAACTCCATTTATCTTTTTTCCAGCTGTTTCACCCTTAAGAGCTTTTTTCAGGATCTGTTTGGAGTAGGTACTAAAAAGAATTGGCGACAATACGCATCCCTGTCTCACTCCACATTTGCTCACTGTTTATAGTAAAAATTTGATATTATCTTGAGGTCGTTGTAGTCAATCTTCTTTGATTTCAGGACATTTATTAATTGTTTAGGTCGTACTTTATCGAACGCTTTATTATAGCCAATAAAACATGCGTATATATCTTGATTGACGTCCAGACATCTTTGTATCAGTAAAAAACGCTGTGTCTATAAAAACGGACAAATAAAAGGTGCGACAAATAATGTAGTGTATTTATGGAAATTAAAATTTATTCGATAGAGATTTATGTTCAATTCTTTAACATGATACAGAACACAGAAACATTAACTTCCTCATAGTTGTGATCATTATAAACTGACTATTTTTGTGTGTTAAAAAGTTTTATAAAAAGAGATTTTATTATTCTTTATCTAATTTAATACCCGTTAGAGACAATAACGGTGTTAATATTTTTTGTTCGTTGAGATTCAAGTATGTATCTTTAACCGTTTTAAAACACAACTTTTTTTTATTCAGAAATAAAAGTTATATCTCTGCTTTTCCTTATCAAGTTTATTGAAACCCCAAATTGTGTTTTCGATTGATTTTTTGACAAAAACATCAAGAGTATGAAAAATAGTCTTGTTAAATACATTGTAGTTTTTGATAAAATGAAATTATTTATAACTATTTTCACCAACGCAACGCTTTACAAAGAACAAGTGTACAGTACACATAGTACACACAGTACACATAATACTTGCACATAGTGGCTTCTAGTCATCATCATTATAATGAATACAAAACAAGTATTTTAATATGTGTCTGATTTGAAGTAGGAAGAATATTTCTTCTTACGTGTGTTTAATCCTAACTAAGACTTTACCAATACGTATATTAAATTCTAAGAAATCCATAACATCTTTGGAGCGTACACATATTCCATAATAATCTAACAGTTAATCCAAAAAATATACCCTTCTAATTAGTTTATTACAGATGTGGAAATCTATTGTTTTTCTAACCCCTCTACACGTTATCTCTTTACAGTGGATGACTGGTAAATATATTTTTACATATATTCTAAGCAACTAAAAATAAATTCTATAATATGTTAAATGTTCACCAAATAATGAATAATAGGCGCATGAAGTTATTGCTACTCATTACAAATAATATACACTTAGGGAGTTAATGTAATATTTGCATGTACTGCGACAACTGGATATATAATATAAGGAAAATTGTTTAATTTTTCACTACTACTTAAGTACAGATATTATTGGATAATATGTTCGCCTCCCTAAGTTTGCTTCTCATAGACAAAAAACGTCTTTTGCGCTCTCTGATCTTGGTGTTCGTATCGAAGAGATGTGATTTTTCAGTCTCTCCCATAGTTAATGCCCTGATTTCAGAGTTATACATTCCTCTCATACATACATACTTATACAGTGTGAACGTTTGGATAGGAAACTCCAAAATATCTCCGTTAGGTAGTATTTAAGCAAAAAAGGTCCAGCCAAGACAGGTCGATTTTCAAATTTTATTCTCCTTTCATTTTGAATAACCGTAACTATGACGACGGACCATGACGTCATGATGATATTATTCATTTATTTATTCTTCTTCTTTTTATGTAGACATGACTGTTTTTTAAATGTGCCTTTGGTAAGTTGTGGTTCCATCGTTTTCACGGTGTTCCTACTGATCGCGGTCCTATTTAGGAATCGTCTCTCGCCGTCTTTACTACTCTATTTGTTGTCATTTGGCGTATATGATCGTTCCATTCTACTCTTCTATTTCTTACCTAGTCCTTGATGTTCTCCACCTTGCATCTATGTCGTATATATGTACTTACACTCTGTCAACTCTGCTGTTTCTAACTTTCTTTTTGTCTTGTCTGTGACAGTTGGTGCTACTGTCGCGTATGTCGATTATGAGACTGATGACTGTTTTGTAAATTCTGCCTTTCATTTCTTTCCCGATATTTTTATTTCTACTTCTTTCTTTCTCATATTGTTTCACTCAGGCAACCTTCGGCTCTGTTTGCCCTATTCACTTGATCTTCCACTTCTGTTTCGAGCTTTCCGTAGCTAGATAGCATGATGCTTACATGTTTAAACTGCATCACTTGTTATATTATCTGATATTCCAGCTCCAGTTTACATCTTAGTATCACTATCTGTTATAACCTTGCATTTTGCCTTTCTAGTATATTTTTTTAGTTCTTACTTTTTTATTATTTCATCCATGATCAGGTTGAACAATGGGGGACTCAAGGAATCTCCCTGTCTTATCTCATTGCCAGATTCAATTGGGTGTGTTAGTTCTCCTTCGAGTGTTACTTTTATTGTGTTGGTTTGGTAGATATTTTCGATCGATTTGATTATTCCTAGAGGTATCTCTCTTGCGTACAGTTGTGGTTAACACCATTTAATTTGACCCTGTCAAATGCCTTTTTAAGGTCCACACAACATAGATATGCCGGTTTGTTGTATTCTAATGATTTCTTTTGCAATTGCCTTATTATAAATGTAGCGTCGGTGCATGATTTTCCCGACCTAAAACTTTGTTGTTCTTCTACTAGTCTTATAATCTTATTTAGTTTATTTGTTTATTACTTTGGTTGTTAATTTTAGTGTTTAATCAATTAATTCCTTTATAATTTTTCGGGTTCGATTTGTCTCCCTTTCGGAACAGAGGTATTAGGTTGCTCGATCTCCATTCTTGTGTTATTATGTTTTGTTCTAATAGTTTTTGGATTCGTTTTAATCGTTGTTTGGTCAGATCTGGTCCGCCGTACTTTAGGAGTTATTTTTTTAATTTTCTTATTTCTTGTTTTGCATCACTTCTGGTGTTGGTGGTTCATTATCGACCTTTAGCAAATATGGAACGAGAATAGTCTGCCTATGTTTCCTTTGAATGTGTTTCATTTTAATTAGTTCGTTCATCTCTTTTCAATGTCCTCTGATCATTCTCCATATTTCCTTTTGTGTGCCATAGAACTCGTGTTTCATCTATTTTGAGAAGCTCTGCCAGTGTTCCTTTTTAATTTGTCTGACTAAGTCTTCGTTTAATTTTTGATTCGTTTATAGTATTTGTATGCCTGTTATGTTCTGTATTGTAAAAAGACTTCTTAAGACTTCTTAAAAAGATTCTTTTCTTTACTAAGCTGTGGTCGCTACCTACACCTGCTAAGTTCAGGCATCATAGGTCGATTATTTTTGATGGATGTATATCTATGTTTGTTATAACAAATCTATCGTAGATCTTTGTCCTCGGGTGTTATTGAATGTATATTTGTATTGGTCTTTGTGGTAAAACAATGTGTTGTTCGTTATTCGTGCAGAATTTTATCATCAGTTTTCCACTTTTTTTTAACATTCTTGTTGTATTTTTTCTTAATTACGGGTATAACTTAATTGCCAGTTCGAGCGGTCAAATTCCCCAATATTGTCATCTTCTCTCTGATTTGATCTACTACTTGTAATTCGTAATAAAATATTTCCCTTGTTTGAGGCTTACTGTTTTCTGAGCCCTATACTACGATGATGTTCAGGTCTTCCTTCTCCATTCTTATCTTTGCTGTTACAATCCTTTCTGATATGTCTTGACACTCTTTGATGTGGTGCCTTTGGTGTATTAGGAAGGCTACACCTTCTTTCGTCCTTTTTTCTTTTGCCACCCCACTGTAGATTAGCATATATGTAGCTAATACTGATTTTCCTTTTGTTTTCTTGTTTGTTTCTTTTACAACATAATTGTCTAGTTTTTTCTCTTTCAGCACTTTCAGAATTTTAAAAACGACAATGTGTAATACTATTGCCTAAAGTTACCCCTTCTTTACACAAGGTGTTAAAATTTAAAAAATCAGTTGGACAGTTTTAAGAGAATACGTTTAATTTTTAAGAACATAAGCAAATCATTGTTTATTTAAATTACAGTTTAAATTACAGTTTAAATAAGATCCTTAGATTGTGATTTTCTCCCTTCTTAGCACTAAGTCAAGCTTTGTTTAAATTCATGCAGAACATTTTTAATAGTTTCTGGCCTAATGTCATGAATTTGAGTACGAATTCTTTCCTTCGTTTTCTTCAGTTCGTCGATATTATCGAATCGAGTAATATATACTTTTAATTTAATCTATCCCCACAAAAAGAAATTCTATGGAATAGGGTGTGGCGATCTAGCTGGCCATTCTATAAAGCCCCTACTCCCAATCGAATGGTTTGGAAATATTTCGTTTAAAACGTTACAAACGGTCGCATCATACTGTGGAGTGGCTCCGTCTTTTTGATACCATAAGCCTTCATTTAAGATGTTCGGGTTCTTAAATATTTCGCACCAGGTAGATTTTCGTATACGAAAATTGGGTATATAAATTTTATGCAAATAATTCCTTTTACTACCTAAATACATTAACTTGGAGAATTGGGCATGGACCCGTCATCCAGTGAAATTTGTTCGTGACCAGTATCGACAGTTTTGTTTATTTACTGTTTTTTTTTTTCGCAAAATCTAATCTTCTATCCTGGTCATCTTCCTTTAATTCTTGCACTAAATCCATTTTGCAAGCATGCCATTGTTATTGAAATTTGGCTGATGTCATAATTAGAGGCTGAAGTTCTAGAACTTACATGTGGATTGTCTTGCTAATCTATTACCATTGATTTTTTTATGACACTCTTAGTCATTGATTACATTTTTAGATATGCCTGATTTGGTAACTCACTCTGCATTCAGATATTTGGTATTGAATATATTGCATAATATATATTATACATTTAAACAATGACGTATAATATATAGACTCGGTGAACGCTTTAAAAAGTGTCTACAACATGAATACCTTTGTTATTGTTTTGATACGAAGATGCACGAAGTTCATAATTTCTTACGAAGCATCACGTTGATCTTGTGTTTGAAAACATTTTCGCCATTTTGTGTGTTTACATATTTTATATGACAAGCAAATTTTATTTTAAATTGTTGAGAGTTATTTACTTACTATTTTAGTAAAATGCCATACTATTTTATAAAAATAATTTTTTCTCTTATAGACGGAAACAAAAAAAATCATAAATATTTAATTTTAATTAAAAAAATAATTATTGTCATTGAAATATAAATGAGCACGCCGCTGTTCTGGTAAACATACCTTCAACCTTGAGCGGAGATCTTTGGGACACCCGATTATATAGCGAGAATACGGTACTGCCACTTTAAGCACTATACTGTGGTACTGCTTAGTCTATATATTATACGTCATTGCATTTAAACTACCCTACTCTACCGTAAACTCTTGAAAACGTGCATCGTGGATTTAATCAAAGGTCGACTTATTGCCAAAAAATAAGGGAGATCTCAATTTGAACACCTTATTTAAACTTTTTTTTATTTTATTTTATTTATTTATTTATTTTACTAAACTAATTTTATAAATTGTATATCAAAAACTATTAACCTTAGAGCAATAGTAATACATATTGCCCTTTTTAGAATTTCATTGTCTATTTAATTTTAACAGAAAAAATGATGACGTCATGGTGACATCATTACAGATGCGGTTATTCAAAATAAAAGCTAATTTTAAAAATCGACCTGTCTCGATATTTGTTTGCTTAAATGACACCTAACTAGAAAAATTGAGGTTTCCAACCCAAAAGTTCACGCTGTATCTAGTAATATACCTAGTACGAAAATTTCTTATTTCGTTTCTATAATTTTGTGTGCAATGTAATGGATATTGGTTCTATAATTTTCTAAACAATGTAATGCATATTGGCCTAAAAGTTTAAGACGATTGAATGCTCTCGCCCATTCTATATCCTGCTCTGACCTTTTGATGATTTGGCTACGACGATGTTTAATGGGGTAGGGCTAAGATATATCTTCTTGTATAGGAAAATTAAGGAAACAATGATTTTTAGTTATTTGTTTACATTTCAAGGTTTGGTAGATATTCGGTATAAAAATGGTAACAAAAACAGTGCGTAAAGGATACGGAAAATATGTTTTTTTTTAGTATCTTTAAACATACTATATTATGCATGCTCTAAACGAAATAAAGAAAATTTATCTACTTTTGGTGTACCTTAATAAGTTTGATTATTTTAAACATCTATATAATATATTTTAGGTGTAGGTGTAAATTTGGATAATGCCAATCCAACAACATGTATAAATGATCTCATTAGAAAAAGAAATGAAGCTAAAGGAACTAATCTGAGACCTATATCATATGAAGTCTATTTTGCCTCGGTATTTAATGAATTTGAAAAACTATTTCTTACCATACAGGAAGGAAACATGGATGATTTTTATGACCTCTATTATCAATACTGGTTGCATAAGTAAGTAAGCTACTGCAATAAACCCACATAAACCTGCTAAAGGTGTATAGAAGTAGATTATAAATTCCGCACTTTATATTTGACATTCTGTATCTCTAGAGATTGTTGCGATGTAGATGGTGATGTAGGTACCCACATTATTAGTTTATTAAAATTAGTGGAATATTTGAAACGAGCAAATTTTAAATCATTTTGAAATACCGGATTTTTGAACCGTTTTTTAAAGATTAAATCATTTTAATGTTGTCAATTGTACTATTTCTGTAAAATTTTCTATAATGTCTTCTCAGAATTTAAGCAAACAAATTGGGGGTTTCAAATCCCAATGAACGAGCGTTGAAAATTTTTTGAATACTAATTTAGATTTGAAAAATAAACTGTCGACCGTTTTGAAATCATTTTGGCTAAATTATTAAATTGAATGGATCACTCTGTTTCAAACATTCCGCAAAATCATTTTTCTAGTGTAAAACCACCAGATATTAGTATTAAACCTTTTTCAGGAGACGCTTAAGAATGGCATTTATTCTTTGATTTATTTACAATGCGTGTTTTAAATATGGCCAAATTAAAATTTGGCAATATATAAAGCAGAAATTGTTTTCTCAGAAGTTAACTGCTACAATTGATTGAATCGTTAACTGTGACTAATCAAAATTTTGAAATTGCTATATCAACACTTAAAACTAATTACGAGGACAAAAATAAGCTTTTAAATTCGTTGTATTGTACAGTTTTCTATCAAAAAACTATGACTAAATGTAAAGCTCATGAACTAAGGACGTTTCATATTACATGTAAAAAACATTAGATTTAATTTAAAAACTTAAACTTATCGGCTGAAATTAATTTAAGATGCATTGTTAGTATTTATCTTAACAAGGAAACTAGATTACCATATTAGATGCGGTTTTGAAAACGAACTGCCATCTATTAATAATGGTTCTTTAAATTTTTGCGAAAGCGGTATAATGTATCAGATAATTTAAATATATTTGAATCTAACTTAAAACCTAGAACTAATAATAATTGTATTTTTGAAAGAAACGCGTCTAGAGTATCATTACATACAAACGCCGCGGAATCTCGACGTGACATAATTTTTTATAGTAAATCATGTGTTTTCTGCATAAACCGCACGCATCAGATTATATAAATGCCAACAATTTTTGAATTTAGTTCCAGAGGAAAGACATACACTTATTTAATCCAAATCTCTATGTTGTAATTGTTTAGTTAATGTGCACATTCTGTCTTTCTGAAAAATCTTTGTCCAAATGTACACGAAAAATCATTACTCTTTACTCTGTAACAATAAAACACTGAAAACTTTTTTCAAACTTCCACAAAAATTTATTTTAACTCTTATCACTACTTTTGTTTCGCCTCATTGCCTTTTTCAAGTGACCTATTTTTGGCTTGGGTTTACAAATTTATAGTCTCTAATGAAATAGGTTGAGGAGGGGAGAACTGTTTGTCTCAAGTTGGTCATTCAGAATTATATATGTGTTTTTTAATTTGTTCATTTTCATAAATTCTAACAAGGATAGCTTAAGGCCTTTATTTTTACTGTGAAGAATTTTAAATTCGTCATTAAAAGAATAATTTTGATCTAGGAGGTGAAGTGCGTAAGTAGAATCTGTTTTTCAATTATTGAAAGCCGTTTTATGTCCTGCTATTCGTTTATTAAAGTTTCTACAAGTTTGACCGATGTAAGTTTTTGGGTAGTCAGATAAAAATTAAAAACAGCGAGGTTTAGACTGCTATTGTGAATCATAAGGTTTAAATATAAGAACTCGACGAAAAAACTGACCAGATCTTAAGTTAGTTATAGTAACAAAGTTAGTCAATTAATTACATATTTGTTAATGCTTGTATTCAATTATTTCCACATCGTGGGTGGTCCTTCGAATTGTAATTAATTACATTGCCAATTACGCTCCAAATGGTAGTAAGATCGTCATCTTAATTTAGCCATATCTTAAGGAAATGGTTTTCTGCAGTTGATCGTTGAAGGAAAGATCAAAGGAAAGAACTTTCAAAGAAAGAAAGATTCTTAGTTTTTAGAATTCCATTGTCTATTTAATTTTAACAGAAAAAATGATGACGTCATTACAGTTGCGGTTATTCAAAATAAAAGGTAATTTTAAAAATCGACCTGTCTCGATATTTTTTTGCTTAAATGACACATAACTAGAAAAATTGAGGTTTCCAACCCAAAACTTCACACTGTATCTAATAATATACCTAGTACGAAAATTTCTTATTTCGTTTCTATAATTTTGTGTGCAATGTAATGGATATTGGCTCTATAATTTTCTAAACAATGTAATGCATATTGGTCTAAAAGTTTAAGAGGATTAATTTGTAAAATTTGGAATAAGTCCAATTTTCTACATGCTGTATTTCTAACGCAGTATTTGAACGCTTTCGCCCATTCTATATCCTGCTCTGACCTTTTGATGATTTGGCTACGACGATGTTTAATGGGGTAGGGCTAAGATATATCTTCTTGTATAGGCATTAATTTGCACATCCTCATATAGTCATCTTTTCATTTTTGCTATTCGAGTTCTGGTGTTTTAATCATAAGTTATAATTCGTTAAAATTCTAAAAGTTTAATAATTGTTTGTGTTCGTTGGAAATTCGTGATGTAAATATTTAATTTGAGAAAATTAAGGAAACAATGATTTTTAGTTATTTGTTTACATTTCAAGGTTTGTTAGATATTCGGTATAAAAATGTTAACAAAAACAGTGCGTAAAGGATACGGAAAATATTTTTTTTTTGTCTAGTATCTTTAAACATACTATATCATGCATGACCAGATCTTAAGTTAGTTATAGTAACAAAGTTAGTCAATTAATTACATATTTGTTAATGCTTGTATTCAATTATTTCCACATCGTGGGTGGTCCTTCGAATTGTAATTAATTACATTGCCAATTACGCTCCAAATGGTAGTAAGATCGTCATCTTAATTTAGCCATATCTTAAGGAAATGGTTTTCTGCAGTTGATCGTTGAAGGAAAGATCAAAGGAAAGAACTTCTCTTGGCTGGGAAACTTACTACCATGTTTCGAAATCAAAGGGGACAGCACAATTATGGGGTTAACACAAGATTGAGAAGAATTCCAGTTGATGGTCGCCAACCTCCGATGAGAAGAGGACACATGAAGAAGAAGTTATAATTTTTGACAAAAGGGTGCGAATTATAGAGGAAAATAACTAAACAGAAAAACGTTTCTTTTTTGCTGTGCTCTAGTAATTAATGATCATGCAAAAAATTTTTCTTTAAAGTTCAGTTATTACCTACCTGACTTAAATCAATCTGGGTGCTAAGCTAACACATTTAATAGCATTTTAGTTCATATCCTATATAAAACTTAAAATGATCTAGCAGCAATAGGTGGTTGCAGCGATAGCACTGAAAGAAAGGAGATGCATATTTTTGATTTTGCTATCTGGAGTTTTGATTTTGTTATCTCTAACTACTAAAATTATAAAATAATAAATTTATTTTTAAATAAACTGGTATTTAGTTAAGTTTATTAATTTTTAGTTCATTACTATCATATAAAAATAAATAGTATTAACTGTTGTATTTCCCATATTATAACACATAACTCTTCTTTTTCAGCAATAGTGATGTGACTGTGCAAGTGTCAAAAGATGAAACCGAAAAAATGCATATAGTGGGTATCGATGATGTCGGATTCTTAAAAGTTAGAAACTGTGAAGGCGAGATCAGTACAATCCATCCCGATGGCAATAGTTTTGACATGTTACAAGGCCTTATCTCGCGAAAAATGTTTTAGATTGGTAGTTGTACTAAAGAATACGTTTTTATGATTATATTGTTTTTTAATAAATTCGCTAATATCATTGTTAAAATTAAATAAAGTTGCTTAAAGCAGTTTATATCGGTTTTAAATTTCTCACAATTGGAAGTTTTTAATCGATCAATGATACATATCAAAAGGATAAAATTAATTTCATTGAATTCTGGTAAAATAATCCTCGTCACACGATATTTTATCGGTTTAGGGTTTCTCTACAACCTATAATGGAATAGATAGTAGGTATAAAGCGTTTTTTATTTCCAAAACATTCAGTTCAAAGAAAAACATGATTATAACAGCATTTATAGGAAACAATTATTATTTATAACTTTATACTGGTGAGGTTTCTGCTAATTAAATTTATCTCCCAAATTTAACTCTAAGTTAATAATATGCGAATATTCTTGAGTAATAATTGTTTCATAATTCTTAAATACGTTCGACAAACCGAATACCAATCGAGGTTCATATATGAATCAGATTTGTGATATTTTAAGTAGCTAACTCAAAATGTACGGAAAAAATTACTTAACCATGCGATTTTCTCTCGCATCGTAATTCGTCTTCATTGCTTTAATTTTAAATCAATCTCTTTTATTTACCTCTCACAGTTCTACTCCATGCAGTCTAGTGCTTTCGACTATTGTTTTGTATTTTGTTTCTTTTTTTATAAAAAGTAAGTTTTATATAAATAAGTAACACAAAAGAAAGAAATAAGTAACGCAAAAAAATTAACATTGGTAACTGCCGTGGATTTCAATACGTCTCTAGGCATAGTTGCTGAATCTGTTCATGTGGTATATGCTCCCATTCTTCATTCAACGCTATTTTCAGCCCTTTAATCGTTTCTGGCAATGGTTGTCTCTTTTTAATATTTTTCCCTAAAATGTCCCGTAAATGTTCTAATTGATTCATGTCAGGACTAAGCGGGCCAATCCCCAAACAGGAATTTCGAGAGTATTTAAGTATCATCATCATTTAGGCTTTACAACCTTGTGTGGGTCATAGCCTCCCCAAGAATTTTTTTCCAGTCGTCCCTATCCATCGCCTTCGTCCGCCAAGTTCGTATTTCCATATTTCTCATGTATTTAAGTACTTCGGCAATAAATTAGCAATTAATTCCTTGTAGTTCGTTTTCTGGCGGATATCTTGGTCTTCTGTGGGTGTGTTTTGGACTAGGGGATGATGGGGTGGTTTTTTGAGATTGGTTAATATACCAATTAACAGCAATTCATTAGCAATAAAATATGCCGCGAAGATGTACCCTGCACCCCTCTTACTTGCCGAGATATAGCTATGGCTATGCTAGCTTTACCGTAAAATTAGTATACCCACTGTTTCTCAGAAACGGCTACAGCAAAAAATGTTTCCTTTCCGTAATAAATTAGCAATCAATTATGTGTTGGTCTGAATTCAGTCTTATAAAATGGATATGCTAACTTTACAGACATCCTTTTTAATACGTTACCATGATAGCATTGTTCTACAACGTTGAGATTTTCCGGTTTAGAAATATCTACTAAATAGAATTTTGACAGCGTAAATTAATTTTTTTCTACCCACTCTCAATCGCAATGTCATTTTCTCCTGTGCTCTGTTTTTTTTTTTTCATTTTTTTAATGTAGTTGAAATTATTTCGACTGTTGCTTAGGCCTAGTTGAGTCACAGAAGTACATTAAATATATATATTGTAAAACTGATTCCTCAGCTTGACAATTCTTTTATCAATATAACATCACTTTCTCAAATTCTTAGTTAAAATTTAAAAAGATAAAAATTGAGTTATTACTTCTGCTAAGACCGTCACATAGTTACCAAGTTATTTGTCTTGCAAATCTGTAATCGTTGCTTTTAATCGTTTATTGGTTCTATTATGATTTGTTGTACCGTCAGGAGCTGGCGTTGGTTAGTTGCAATATTACTGACTTTTTAATGTCTACTGGCATAAAATAATTTTCTTCTGGATTGTATTGTTTATTGGAGAGTAGCTTGTTGAACTGATTTTATCAGTAGTTTACTAAATAATGTTAATATCGTCTCATCAACTTCATTGCGTACATGGACTTTTCCTTTAGTCCTGATACGAAAATCTTCCCATTTGGGTTTCTTGTTGTATAATGTTGTGTGTAGTTTGTTTTAAGTAACGAAGGTGCACTCATAGTAGCTATTATAAGAGAGAAGTTAGAAGAAAGATGATAGTTTGATATTAGTTCATTATTGCTTCACTGCTTGTGTTGTGCATTTTTATATTATACAGAAGTCAGAAAAATCTTGGGAGTTATCCTATCGACTGTACGAAATCATTTCTGTTGGATGTTTCCTAAATAACCATTCTTCTTTTGGTGTCTATCCTCTGTGGATATTGGCAATCACGCTGGTCCATACAACTTTGTTGACAGCTGTTCTAAATAAATGTATGGTAGTCATTCCTGCCTCACTGTCACTGTCTGATGTTCTTCAATCACGATGTCCTTCTGCGCCCTTGAGATCTCTTGCCTTCTATCTTGTCTTGTAAAATAATTGAATTAGTTGATACTTCTTATTGCACATCACATGCCCTAAGTATTTCATCTTTCTAATTTTCACGATACGCATAATTTCCAGATCTTTATTCATACGTTGGATCACGGTGTTCGAAGTCGAAATAATCATTCCGTTTCTATAATAATCTGTTCATTCATTATATCTGTATTCTATTTAAGATGTTTGACGTATATAATATGAGTCAAAGTCAAGAAATAAATTTTTAATTACAAACAAAAAAAATTTAAAAAAATACTTAATAAATATATAAAAAATACATAAAAAAGATGAATATTGTAAAACACTTTAAATATTGTTAAAATTGCATAAAAACGTATTCATTTTTTAATTGTTGTGAAATGTTTTAAGTCTATAGAATGTTCAACATTATTGTTCAAAAGTGTAAAATATTTTTAAGATAAAATCTTAATCAAAATTGTGAGTTTTCTTTACGTTGATACCCTAACCAAAATTTTTATTTTGTATGTATGTTTTTATTTTAATTTTATTTTGTTAAATAAATCGTATAAAAATTTACTTTTATTGATTTTTATCATATACCAGCTCTGATCCACTCCAGAAAAGGATGAATAGGTGATAGACGGTGATAGATAGATAGATTTAATGAGGTGGCATTTGGCATATTCCACTACAACTTTTTTATATTTATTGTGGTCCATTAATCCTAAAGTACATTCTGTAACCAGACCCTTTTTATAATGTCTAATGGCTTCGAGACTGAAATTTCCATATAGCTCTTAGCCGGTGGCTTTTTCTACGGTCTCCTAGTTTATTTAGGGCATGTTTACTATACCGTTTTCTATACCTGCAGATGTTTTGGAACCGATGTTTTGAAGCAGCTTCTGCTTGTATGTGTACACCTTCGGTGCAGTCCTATTGTCTGGTATATTAATTTTAAATTTATTGTCAAAAGTATATCTCGTAGATGTTGCATCAATGGGTTGCCCCATTACGATATGTGCTTTTAGCTCCTTGATGAACTTTAAATTCTCAGCACTGTGATCCTGGCTTATATTAGATACAACCTAAGCGAATTTTCCCCTGACGACAATTGAAATATCGTCAGCGTATCATAAAAAGTAAATTTGTAGATAGATTTTTGAGAATATCATCTACCAAGGTTACACAAAGTAGAAGTGATAGAACCTCTCCTTGTGGACAGCGTCCAGCTGCTCTTGCTTTGATGGTTTCTTTACCAAGAGTGGATGTTACTATTCTATTCTCAAGATATGCCCTTATCCATCTACATATTACCGCAGGTGTGTCTCGTCCACTAATTGCTTTAACCAAGGAGTCGGTAGTAACATTATTAAATGCTCCTTCAATATCTAAAAAATCGGTTATTGATACAGCTTTGTCCTCTATTGACTTTTAGATAAACCACCCATTAAGAAGTCTTTCTAGCGTTTTAAAAAGAAAAGACGATAGACTTCTATATGACTTTAGGTCTGTATTTGTGTTTGTGGATTTGGTGTTAGGTCTGATACTTCACCTATCTTGGGTAAGTATATGACTTAAACCTTCTGCCATATTTCAGATACGACCCCCATACTAAACTAGCTTTGAGTATCTTGAATATGTGTGGTATCAATACCTCTAATCCCATATGCAAAAGTATTAGATATACGTCATCTCTCCGTGGAGACTTATGTAGCTGAAATTTATTTATATCCCTGAAATTTATTTATATTATATATATTCTGCTTGGTCTTGTTCTGCTGTAGATATTCCCAATCTATAGAACTAGACCTCGTCGGCTTTTATATTTATAATTTTTTCCTCTTTGGTCTCCGTAAATTTGCCTTTAGCTTTCTTTACGAAACCTACTTATTTAATGGCAGAACCATCATTTGCGGGATTTTATAGATTCGAGAGTAGGCCGGAATATCTTAAATCTCCGCGTAAACCTCTCTTTATGAATACCTGTAGGTTTTGCGAATTTCTGTATTGTATAGCGTTGTTCCACTAAACCACTTTCCGCTGTTCCACTTCCTTACTGCCCGTATTCTTCCTTGATTTTTCCGGGCAGTTTTTGTGGTAAGCGCCCATACTAGTTTCTCTCGTCGTTTTAGTGTCGTACTAGTGTCTCTCTCCTCGACAGAGGAAGGTTCATCAGACACATAATAATTTGTTATAATATACACTCGGACAATAGACTGAACACACCATCACTTTCTTCTCTCTTATTTCGGTAGTTATGGTTGGTATGATGAAATACCTGTAACAATATCATCGGTGCACAGCACCGGGATTAGTGTACAATCTACTCTATTGCTGTGAATTATGCACGACCTTGGCTTTATAGCTTTAGGTATGAATAAAACCTTACCTTGTTTGGTTGATAAACCAGAAATTTTCCACGGCTCCTGCGAAAGGGCAATATGGATGCCTTCTTATTTCACTTTTCTAATCAGCATTGCCGATGCGGATTT